TTTTTTTGCGTAAAAAACTATAGCAACTAACCACATGCAGAAACTACACTGAAGGAAAGCACAAGTGGATGTTCCATTCTTGAAGTAACATAGGTATTCTAGTTCTGGGACCAATTACATCGGTAATAAGGGCATACCTCTCCTCATGGGATAATCATGAGAACTGAACCCTGTTTCTACAGAGCCAACAAAAGAATTTCTTGAAAAGAAACTCAAGGAAACAGGATAGTGGGTGGTGAATCCATCGCACAGAATATTATATTGATACTGCATAATCCAATGACTAGAAGCTGATGTGCTACCTGCAAGAAGTCGTGGCTAGCGCACCGAGACCATTGTCCTCTGTTGGTCGGCACAAGAGCAGCCACCACGAGCGAGATAAACACATGGAGGGGAGCAGTAGTAGCAGCGGAAGATATGGATTGAAGCTGGACAAGTGGATGCTCTGGTCGAAGACAGCCATACCACAAGCAGGGCAGGGGACCCAGCTTTGCACTTCGACCTTGGAACAGAACAAATAGAATGGCACGGTTAAGAGAGGAGGAACCCAAGGTTTGCATGATATCATCTATTGCTAAGGTAGCCTAATCTAATCCAGTGCAGTTCATTTAAATTCCCATTCCCATTCTGCACGAGATGAGATTCAATACTTACTTTGGATAAATAATAATCTGTGTAAAAAATCAGTAGACTAAGCATGCGTAACAGATTTATGGTGCTTATGAGAATAAGCCATAACCAACATAACTAGCTGGAGGCAGGCAGGCATCCATACCATCCATCCAATAGATGAAGTAGAACCACCGAGTAGAGCAGAAATCAAGTGGCAGGGTATAGATATTTCACCTCTAAACATCCACTAGCTTAGCGGCGGCGGCGGTAGATGGTTTGGATCATCTTGCGGTTGAAGGTGGCACACACACCCGCGGTTGCGACCCAGCTGTACACTTGACCTTGAATCAAGAAAAGACAAGAAAAATCAAATAAAATCAAATCAAATGGCATTGTCAGGAGAGGAGGGGTGGCATGGCATCATCAAGTGCGGGAATTGTGCACCAATCTTTCCTTGTATGGAGGAAAAATAACCATGAATAGTGGGTAAGAAGGAACCCTAGAAATTGGGGATTTTTAGAGAATTGATTGATTAGAACAGAAGATTGCAATTTTCAGGGGCATCTAACATTTACGACCAGCACCGGCACGAATTAGCAAGTACGGAGTATGTACTACATATTATTCATTGTTGTGCCGTGACCATGACCATGAATCACTGACCACCAGATTCATTGTCGTAACATGTACGACCAGAAGAAAGACTCTTTTTTTTTGTTGCCATTGCTAGTAATGCTAGGCTGCTAAATACAGATATATTGCACATCTCTCAGATCGATTGCAATGAAAGAGAGAGAAAAAGAGCAGAGAGGAGCTCACCATGGGTGAGGGAGTTCCGGACTAGGGGATGTCCGGATAGCCGAACTATCATCATCGGCCGGACTCCAAGACTATGAAGATACAAGATTGAAGACTTCGTCCCGTGTCCAGATGGGACTTTCCTCGGCGTGGAAGGCAAGCTTGGCGATACGGATATGTAGATCTCCTACCATTGTAACCGACTCTGTGTAACCCTAGCCCTTTCCGGTGTCTATATAAACCGGATGGCTTTAGTCCATAGGACGAACAACAATCATACCATAGGCTAGCTTCTAGGGTTTAGCCTCCTTGATCTCGTGGTAGATCTACTCTTGTAACACACATCATCAATATTAATCAAGCAGGACATAGGGTTTTACCTCCATCAAGAGGGTCCGAACCTGGGTAAAAACATCGTGTCCCTCGTCTCCTGTTACCATCCGCCTAGACGCACAGTTCGGGACCCCCTACCCGAGATCCGCCGGTTTTGACACCGACATTGGTGCTTTCATTGAGAGTTCCTCTGTGTTGTCACCGATAGGCTCGATGGCTTCTTCGATCATCAACAATGATGCAGTCCAGGGTGAGACCTTCCTTCCCGGACAGATCTTCGTATTCGGCGGCTTTGCACTGCGGGCCAATTCGCTTGGCCATCTAGAGCAGATCAAAAGCTACGCCCCTGGCCGTCAGGTCAGATTTGGAAGTTTGAACTTCACGGCTGACATCCGCGGGGACTTGATCTTCGACGGATTCGAGCCACAGCCGAGCGTGC